AACACAACTCATTAATGATGCGCTATGGCACCAGACATGTCTTCATGGGTCCTCGCAATTCAATTGTGTATAAGGTAGGAAGCGCCTGCTATAGATAGCTCATGCGTTAACGTCGAAATTATCGGTATTGGAAGGACCGCCTAAAATAGGATCATCTTATAATTAAACTTGACGTTTTCAATGAAATATCCAACTATGGCTGAGAAATATTTGTCAGGGCGAAGTTCACAATACATGGCAAATTGAATGGACTTTTACTGGCCGACTATCGCTGTAAACATTGCTCTTCGACGTTAAATATTTCAAAATTGTGAACCAATCACATTTCTGAAAAACTAATATATACCATAGTTAGGTTCAGAAAAATTTAAGTATCAAGCCCGATTCTTCATCTGAAAAAAAACATATTTAAAAAACTTGCACTAACAAATTTACCATGATTCTCAAAAAGGACATATGAGGAAACCGATTATCCTACTTTCTAAAAGTAAGAAAACCACTATCATTTCATTTATGAATATATTTAGACAACTTACTTATTGAAATTGAAAAAATATTCTTCGGTGTCTGAATCGGAATCTTCAAAAGCATTTTTTCCATTTGATGAACTGGACAAAAACATTAGAAGGATATAAGGGTTGAACCACTTGCAATAAAAACATTATAATATTATTTTACGACTGTTGACATAAGTTGCTTACTGTTCAGAAATTTGCTATATGAAAATACATTAACACTGCATGAGTGAAGATGTAATATTGGATTAATCAATTTCATGATCTAAATGCGTCTGGGTTTATTTAGCCAGTTTAACCGCCTTCCGAATAAGTAGAAGATTTTGTAAGTTTTCGGACAGGCAATTGTCCGAACAGATTGTAGAGTGATCAGCAGCGAAATAATGACACTCCAATCTTAGCGTAAATAGAGCACATGAATGAAATGTAATAAGCTATTATCTCATTTATTACTATGTATAGATAAAGCACCCATAACTACTAAGGAGAATGAAAGAGTCATATATAAATATTATGCGTACTTACGATTGATAACATTTTGAATTTGACTTTTGAGTTTCGTCTTCCACGGGTTTTTGATTTGAGGCATTTTGATTTGGAAGTACTCTGAACCTGAAAATCCAAAAAAGTTTTATAAAAATACTTGTCGCAAGATGGTATATTTCAAAACACCTCTCATGTACCGCGTTTAAGAAAGGGCATTTCTCAATTACAAGTTATTGATGAACACATAAATAATTACCACATAAAAAGTTCATATCTCAAAATGTACTTCATTGTTTTTCACGAAAAGTGATGTACTACGCTCATTTGGGAGGCTGAAGGAGGCGCTGATAAAAATACCAATTCGATTTATTTTTTTGTTATAAACATGAAATGAAGACGAAAATCAACGACGCAAAATTAAGTAAATCATTGATAAATTACAAACCTTACTATTTTTGAACTGTCAGAAATAAGCTGAACCACATGCTCATGCGATGCATCGTACACGCTTACTCCATTCACAGAAATAATATAATCTCCAATTTCCAATCCAGCTTCTTCGGCAGGACTTCCTTTCTTATGAAGCAAATAAATGAATAAATCAAATAATTGTTTCAAACTGTAAATGATAAATCCGCATACGTTTTGAAGTACAGACTTGAATGGCACAAATCGACAACCCAAGGATATGAAGATCAAATGCACTTGACTCTCAGAATCATTTAATTAACTTAAATTGGTGTTATCCCAATATTTTAGAAACTTTTTTCATTTTTCAGTCATTGCAAATCTGAACGGGTCAAATGTAGCAAAATTTTGATGCTTCTGTAATTTTATTTGAATAGATTACAAAACATAAATAAATAATTAATTGCAAATGCCATATTGACCGGTATTATTTATTCTAAATTATTAGGAACTTCAATATTATTTCATATTTTGTACGTACCTGGACACTTTCAATATAACACGGTGATTCTCCAGATATTTGCAAACCCCATGATTCGTCATTTTTTCTCATTACCTCAAGCGTTATACAATCCATTTGATTATCTTAAATTAGATTCAACGTCTTATTGCACGGACGAACAAAAAATACCAGGCGTGCAAACTAAAAAAAGTTTGTGTTAGATCATCAAAAGTGAAACGAAAGACTTACTCCGACCGACATTGAGTAGGCTATATTGAGACTCGGTAAGTTGTGCGTTCGGAACTGTGGGTAAAATAATTCAGCGTCAATCGTAACTATGTTTTCGCTAATTTTCATAGGTACAAAAAAATCAACGATGATGTAACTGAAAATGCTTATTTCTATCACCTGAATATTCAAGCAAACTATAAAATCCACACCCTTTGACTGAAGTTATATTCGTACTTGGAAATATAAATACTTACAGCTTGGGAATTGAAACTACACTTGCCAATACTGTCTATACGAGTTATAAACCGGACTTATATTATAGCAGACACAAAGGTTATCCCCAATTAGCAATAAGTTTCAAATCACGAGTTTTGTCACATGATCCTCATAAATAAAACAGCTTAGCTGGCTACCACAAGGTAAGTTAAGCTTCATTTCGACTATCTCTAACAAGAATTTTAGTAAATCTAATTCCTGGGTCTAACTAACTGGTCTAAATCTAACTACCGACTCAGAAGCGTTATTTTCTGCTCAACCGGGCATGTCGAAATATCCCGTCGCTTTTATTTCAATCGATACGAAGTGCATTCCAGCGTCACTGTCTTACATTTCCGTAGTTTCAATACCGCGAAAATGTCTTTATGTTCACTGGCGATACCACGTTTTGGAGAAGTCTTAAACTCGATCAATTACGGATAATGTGGCCAACAGCGAAACGCCTGTGTAGTCGAGCGATGAAATTAGCGCGGTCAATACCCCCAGGGCAAAATAATGCGTTCCAATTTATACACGGCTAATAAGCTGGTAAATTTGTTTCATGCACTTTACTGTGCCAATAAACAAGATGTATTGATGTAGGTAAATTTCTGACAAGGTTAGAAGTTTTTGCGACGTACTTGCTCTCGGTAACAAAGAAGAGTAGTGAAAGCTAAAATGTTCTATTAACTATATTTGACGTAGTGCGAATGACAAATATACATACGATACAAATGCAAAGACGATTTGGGGGTGTATGATTGTATATTAATAACGCCGATTCGAAACATGAGCCATATTGTAGGCATGATTCAGGTGATACATACGTGACCGGCAGAGCTAGTCTTATCGACAGAAGAAATTCGCGATTGCCTCTTACATCCAATAGAGGGCGCCGTAGTGAATATAACCAAATAGAGCTTACGCGATCTTACGTCGCAGGGCGCCATATTATATGATGAAGATTTCCTTGGTAAACATTAGCTTCGGTTTTAATTAAACGAAATAGTAATCTCAGTTGTGTAGTGTTGTTCTTGGTTCTAGGCTTCAGCCCGTCAAATTAATAGGTAACATAAATAAATAACGACAACACAAAGTACAATGATTATATATGTAAATTTGTGTCGGTAATATTGCTTTTTGTAAACTATATTTGTATGTACAACAAAAGAATGTGAAGACCAATACGAAATATTTAACCATATTTTCCCAAAAAATCATATCCTGTACGGAGTTCAAATCGTGGAGCATGGTAACGTTCACGTAAATTACAATACCAAGTGATTCCACTTACAACTGTAGTATTAAATATTTTATAGTACTTTACCTTTTATAGTTCACGGTGAAAAAACTTCCAACTTTTGCGTAGCACGGGCATACTACGTATTACACGGGCGAAAAACCGCTGCAAATAATTTTTTATGGATTTTGAGGTCATCAGATAAAATTTCGAGGTGAAAAACAAATCACATAGAACACACAGAAAGCCTTGAAATTAATAAAAGTAATGGTCTTTTTTCATAACGATAAGAAGAAAAATAGCAACAAGAATAAGAACCACAACAACATAATACGATCAATATATACAGTTCGTGTCAAAGATGTGAACAATAAAGGATTTGGTTAAATGCTTTGGTGCTCTACATGTTGCGTTGAATTATAAAGCCGAAAGTGATGAAGATTGAATAAATTTAGAAAAAAATGTATTTAAACGTAACTTAATATGATTGTATTTTTTTTCCTGCGTGAAGGAGGACATCATATCAGAAGCGAGAAGCTGCTGCTAAAGAATCGGAAGAGGTATCAGTGTAGATTTAAGATGTTGTTACCGAAATAATTGAATAGTCTCGAACAATCTGACGGAAATAGATACTTGACACAATCAATAACGGATGACTGAAAGTATACGAACTGACAGGTGTCTGTACATACCATACGGTACCAGCCTATTCACTTACAGTTTAGGATACTCACGATATACAGATATAGTAGATACTAGTCGGCGATTGGCGCACCGAGCTAAGCGTTAGGAACACGCCTGCCACCGCGCTTCTGATTACCTCAATTATATGCGAGAGGATTGCTGTACCCCTTGCCGTTGTAGGGTGGTTCATCTAGTTGCAGTTCGGTTATGGCTTTCTCCACTATTAAGTCCCTATATACATCCAATAAAATAGCTGGTCAACTATTGCCATACCCAGCAGGAACTGGCAACCGGGCGAGAGGCCGTGGTTTGTCATACGATTAAACCCCGGTAGTTTTGATATTTAGATTATATTGCGTATTCACAAAAAAACATAATAATTTATACTTATGTATTATTGTCTTTATTATTTATACCCGTTATTATTAAAATACCTCCTCTACACTGTGTTTTTGTCGTATGTTCATGGAGTCGTGAGAAAGACGACGCAAGAAGTCTTTTCGTGAATGGCAGTTGAGTTTTCATGTGTTGCTATTTTTTAATATCCTTTACTACCAGAGGAAAATGCGTACCTATTGGAACTTTCCCTGATCTTGCGTTGTTGTGACGCAACAATATGAAATCCACGACTTGTGAAACTGTGAAATCTCAAAAAACAATGTGCTGCAAGTATTGCAGAAAGTAATGTGCTAATTGAAACTTAAGAGAGATTTTAAGAATTCATCAGTTAAGCGGAGGACAAGGGCATATAATTTAGTTACAGAAGTTGGTGAATTAATTGTTGTTGCAGCAAACTGTCAGATAATATATTACAACTTCTGTTTGGTGTGTGATCGTAAATATATACTACTACGGTCTGATTACTGTTAGAGAGTTGAAAAAGAACGAAAAAAAACAAGGAAAATCTTTCGTTTTATTCTTCGTGTCCATGTATTTAAGCATTGCTCTCTTGTTTTTGTGTCGATTACTTGAGAAAACTCCTCTTTCTTTGCTATACGTTTTTCTATAGAGTCGGTTAATAAATTTGCAGTTTCAAAGTCTGTTAGAACATGTGGCTTTAAAAAAATTTGCTTCATAACAGTACTTTGTGAACAATATTAAGCTCTTAATTTTTGTTGCGGCTGAAGCTTTCAATCCAGTCTTTAAAAGAAGGATAAAAAACAAGACAGCTGTACTCAAATATATGGACTCGTTACAAGGTGTCGCTATTTTTTATCCTGACACATAAAACACGAATCTCTTGAAGTCCACAGAAATTTTTGAAATAAGTAAAAGTAATAGCCTTCTGGCAAAAAAAATCAATCTTTAACCATTGAAAATTTCAAAGCAATTGTCCAGTATTCAAAGAGAAAAGCGTTTCCATCATGACGAAAGAGAATAATAATAACAACATCAACAAAATAATATTGAAACGATCGTTATGTAGGCATGTAGCCTACACTGACGTGTCCAAAAATGCATTTCAGTGTAAAGGGGGACGCAATAAACCAGTGATGATTACCCAACAGTGTCCCCTATGAGGGAGGGAGTCTAACATTAAATCAAATTACCGAGGAAAAAGGTCAAACATAGAATAATAACAAAAGCTGAACCTTCATACATAGCGACACGACATTCCCGGTATCACTCTTGTTAATGAAAGCAAACGAGTCCAGTACGACAGGCGGGGTAACCATGAAAACCACAGTTTATTAAATAACGAATGGAAGAGTAGTGTTATTCCGTGGCCGCGGGAAGGACTACGCACAGTACCGCATTCGAGTAGACATCACCAGACAATATCAATGAATTCAGAACCACCCAATATCTGAGAGGTGTTTTAAATATACACTCGTGGTACACTACAGTGGCTTGATGTCCCGGTGCTGGATGCGAATATATGCACGAAGAAGTAATAGAAATGAAAAAAATCGAATAAAGGTAAACATCTAGTTTTAAACTAATAGATTTCTAATAGCCCACAAAAGCACATGATACATAAGGTGCACTAATAATATAAAAATAGGATCATGAAAACAAGTACCGTACTATAAAAGTTGATATGCAGAACTGCTGCTTTTAAGTTTTGATCATGTAACACAAGGTTATTGCGGTATAATGCAGTAATGACTACAAAAAGGTGGATACTTAGGTAAGACCGCAGTTACCAAATAACAATAATGTAAGTTACCTTTTTGAGTATTGCGAAATAATAGTTTTAACTCAAAAAATGGACACTCGAGTGTGACTGCACCTCCACAAATATCTGCGGATTATAAGTAGATTGGAGATGAACCAATGCGCAATATATAAAGTAGAACAAGAATTCAATAAAAATAAGCATGCCTATTCATTCCACTGTGCAATATATGAGATACAACAAGAATTCATCGAAAAATAAGCAGGACTATTCATTCCAATGTGCAATATATGAGGTACAACAAGAATTCAACAAAACAATAAGCAGCTCTATTTATTCAAGGCGATGTCGATTTGAGAGCTGTGAACCAAGTCGAGTATTATTCTAGTAAACACGAAGAAATGGTAAAAGAGTAGCTTGGCAAATTCAACTGGACTGGTAAAAGGAGATCAGGAGTTTTTATATTTAAATTTGAAAGTCGTATAGGATGACTCACTCACATTGGTCTTGGGGTAGATTACTCCAAATTAAAACATCTTTGTATTTCAAGGAATTGGTAAATGAAGAGGAGCGAGGTACAAAAAAATTGCTGTTTGTTGAGGAACGACTGTTATGTTCATGCACTGAACTAAACGTGACAAAATAATAGTAAAAAGCTGCTGACAATTGATTATTTCAAAATTGATGCATAATCTTAGGAATTTCTAGTTTGTGGATGTCAAGTAATTTTAGCACTCTATGCTTGTGATAAAGATCAGTGGTTCCCAATGGATTATATAAGTTTGAACATAAAAGTGCCCAAGAAAGAATTCTAACAGCCCTATTTTGTAAAACCTCTATCTTATGCATGTTTATTTGAGCTGTAGAACCCCATGAAGCTATGGCATGTTGAATGTGGGACTAGAAAAGCGCGAAATAAACGGTTCGCAGAGTAGAATCCTGTAATATCTGAGCCTACCCAGGATCCCTAATGTTCATTGATAGTTTCCTATATATTCGGTCCAAGATATTTATAAAAGAGGACCACCTCTAATTTGTTGCCTTTAATTTCAATTGAAAGGTTAGTTAGGGTATCCAGTGCGAAATTTTGGCATAAACGGCATGACTTTCAACTTTTCTATATTCGCCGTTACTTTGTTACATATCCTCGATTCATGAATTTTTATTTATTTTTGTGTTCATATTAAGTTGGAGTGTGGTTAAAAGATTCGAGCTGTTAGACAAGTCGTTTATGAATAATAAAAAGACTAGTGGGCCAACTACGGACCCTTGAACAATTTCACAATCAAGGGGGAAACACTGGAGATCTATGGCGACCCACCTCAACAAATCGATAC